GGGGCCTTGGAGGACTTCTAGTCCACCCCCCTGCTCAAGCAGGAGACCCTGCATTATTTCAGACAAGTGGCTGTCCAGGCTCTTCTTTAAAAAAAACCTCCAGTGATGAAGCACCCACAAGCCAGTTCCCTGAGTTAATTGTCCTCACTGTTAGGAAGTTTCTCCTTAATTCCAAGTTGCTTCTTTATTGGCAGCAGCAGATCTCTGAGCCTGTGCAGAGTGCCCCCACACTTTTCCCGAGGCTTTCCTTGAAGGCAAAGGGTCTCTGAGCCTATACAGAGTGCTCTTTACTGGCAGCAGGAGATCTCTGAGCCTCTGCAGAGTTCATCTCTTAAGGCCCAGGGTCTCGGAGATTCTAGAGTGCTTTTTTAAAAAGCAAATTCATAAATAGAACTGAAAGGGGCCTTGGAGGACTTCTAGTCCACCCCCCTGCTCAAGCAGGAGACCCTGCATTATTTCAGACAAGTGGCTGTCCAGGCTCTTCTTTAAAAAAAAACCTCCTACAACTTCTAGTGATAAGCCAGTTCCCATAGTTAATTGTCCTCACTGTTAGGAAGTTTCTCCTTAATTCCAAGTTGCTTCTTTATTGGCAGCAGCAGATCCCTGAGCCTGTGCAGAGTGCCCCCACACTTTTCCCGAGGCTTTCCTTGAAGGCAAAGGGTCTCTGAGCCTATACAGAGTGCTCTTTGTTAGCAGACGGAGATCTTTGAGCCCGTGCAGAGCGCTCCTTCTCCCGAGGCTTTCCTTCAAGGCAAAGGGTCTCTGAGCTTACGTAGAGAGGGCTCCTTCATCGTCCTCAGAAGATCTCTTGAGTGTCCTCCGTTTCAAAAGGCAGGGGAGAAAACCCCTCCTGATTTCAGCTCTCGCCCTGCCAGCTAAAACCCCCCTTGCTTTCCCAACGCTTTCTGTGGGACTCCGGTTTCCATCAGTCCCCGGCCTGGTGGACAAACAGCCTGGGAATTAGCATCCAAACCTCTCTAAGGTGGGGGAAAGAAAGTGCAGGAATTTGGTTGTGGATTTGGACTTGGTGTGTGTGTGTGTATGCTCTTTGGAAAGGATAAAATGGGGGGTGTCCTGCCTGCAGTAATGATTTTGTGCCCTTGTGTTTCGTTTCATTTTTCCCCCTTCTTTCCTCTCTGCAGAGGGTGGAACGCCAGGCTCCGGATCTCGACCCAAGAGAGAAGAAGGACGATGGAAGGGAGCCGGGATGGACAGACGGAAGAGAGGGGCAGAGGGAGGAGGAGGAGGCCTGCCTCCCTCCCTTCCTCCCCACACTTGGGGGGGTGGGAGGCGTGTTCATTGCGTGGCACATCAGGAGGGGCTTCCTTCCCAAGCAGAGCCTGCAGCCTTTCCCCCAACAGCTGGCTTCGCAAAGTGGGATTCCTTCCTCGAAGTTTCCCCACCATGATCTCGCCGTCCCTGCTCTTCCTTTTACTTTTCCTAACACCCCTGGAGGGTGGGAGCCACCCAGCAGAAGACGGTAAGCTAAGGAATGTGTGTGTGTGTGTGAGAGAGAGAGTTGCGATTGTGCACACCCAAATTCCTTGCAGTGCACTCTCTGCAGCCATCTCCATCACTGGCAGAGAGGGGCGGCTGAAAAGTTTGGGGAAAACTGGCTTGGGAGTTTGATTTCTCAATAAATCCTCCCAGGGTCCTTTTTTCCCTGGAGAAGGGGAATGAGGATGAGAAACGATATGTCTTAGCTGTCCAATTTATTGGCTCGCTTGGCAACAACACCAGTGTGTGCTTTTTAATTAATCTCCCTTTCTGCTTTTTTCCCCTTCTCTCTCTCTCAAGTTTTTTTTTTAAACTATCCTAAGTTATGTGTTCTTGCTCAGTTTGGTAAATGGGGCATCTTCTTAAGCCTGTGGTAGCAAGAAATCAGGAAGAGCCTTCTTTTTTTTCCAGGGAAACACTTTATCCAAAAGTGTCACCTTTTGTGAAGTCCAGATTGCTTCTCCAATGTTGTGGGCTCAAATCTGTCTGGCTAAATTGTGGTGAATGGCAAATAGAATTGCCTCGGTCCTTAATCGTTTATGTGGGGGAGAGTCTTCTGTCTGGTTTGGCTCTGCAACCCAACAAGACAGAAAACAGACTTCAATGGATAATTAGAACTGCAGAAAAAACAATGGCTACCAACCTGCCTTCCATGGAGGACCTGGGCCCTGCACGAGTCAAAAAGAGGGCTGTGAAAATATCTACAGACCCCTCGCATCTTGGACATAAATTGTTTCAACTCCTACCCTCAAAACGACGCTATAGAGGACTGCACACCAGAACATGTAGACACAAGGACAGTTTTCCCCCATGCC